TGAGATGTGAGAATAAATTACGGCATAATAAACATTCAAAAGCTGATCAGTACTGAATGTGGATTAAAGTTGCCGTATAACATAATAACCACAGTTCACTTTCTTTCTGCTGTACGCTAGCTTGGCTAAATGTTGTTGGACAACATATATGCGACATCTTTGAATTTATTCCTGAACCAGGTTCCTCCTTGTGGATGTTTTCAGCTCGAGACCACTTGATGTCATGTTGATGAGTCCATATATGCTTTTCTATTCCTAATTTACTGGTTTTTTTTCGCTGTGTGTGTTTATTTTCCTCGGCAATGCGAACTTTTAATGGCCTCTTAGTTTCACCGATGTATGATTCTCCGCACTTGCAGGGTATCCAGTAAATGCAATTCTTGGAATCGTAGTTGGGGTTTGGTGGCCTGTTTTCCGTGAGGCTGCTACGGATAGTGTTCCCAGATCTGAAGCAGGTTCTGGTGTTATATTTGGACCCAATTCTTCTCATCCTTTCCGACAATCCTCTGATGTAGGAGTGCAAGTACTGGTTGTGGCGGCTTCTCTTCCTTGTGAGGCTCTTGCTATCTTTTAGCCAAAGTCTGTTTCATCGTCACTTTGGAGTTACAATTCCGTTGAAGGTCATTTTTGGTAATGCCTAGTTCCTTTTCGAAACTTTTTCCGTATTACAGAGCCCGAAAGCACGGTCTAGTAGAGTCTTGGCGATTCCTCTCCTAGTCGATTGATGGTGGTTAGGTTCCTGGTTCAGATACGTCTAAGAATGGTGATTCGTTGTGGACTTTCTTCTCCATTGTGAAAGTAATGGAAGGTCTTACGTTGTTGATGTGCCTCAGATGCCTAGTTCTGTATTCCCATTGTTCCATATTATGAAGGTGTCGTCAACGTATCTCAACCAGACTCGGGGCTTCTTATGGGCTTCTTCAATGGCTAGAGTTTCAAACCACTCCATATATATGTTGGCTATAACCGGTGGAAGTGGAGATCACACTGGCAATCCCTCATCTTGAGTAAAAAATTCGTCCTTCAGTTGGTAGTAGCAGTTTCTTACGCAGCATCCTAGTAATTCCATGATGACTTGAATTGGTAAGTTTATTCTATCTTGCAGGTCTCCATCTTTGGATATCTTCCTCTGTATGAATTGAAGTACTTCTTCGACGGAAACGTTGGTGTAGAGGCTTTCCACATCGAAACCGATTAGTTGATCCTACTCTGTGACCCTACAAGTGTCAATCGAATTGTTTACCTTCCTTTTAGTGGTAAATTCTATTGATAAATGAGAAGTATAGACATATTCGGCAAATTTACCAAATTGCCTAACTCCACAGAATAATGAAATTTTCTGTACGATAAATTACCACAAGAAATCAGGCAGATTACGAGCGACATAACATTCGGGAGGATAGTAAAGATTTGCCAGATATATACATGATGGAATTGCCCGATACTTGATGAAAATCCATAACCACCGTATTTAAGAAACACTTTATCTTCACTGAAAACTGTTACAAAAACTCAACATGTGTTTTGCCATATAATGGCTGCCCGAAGAAGCCATAGTATGGCGAAGCAAGTGTTGCGTTTTTGTGAAACTATGTTGTGAATGTAACTATGCTGGTGTACAGTGACAGGTGTTGGAAAGAGATATAGTATTTTTAGAAACTTGAATCATGAAGTATTACTCAAAAAACTTCACTGGTACAGCTGCAGAGGGGTGACGTACAACCGAAGTCAAATGGTAAGAACATCGGAACTCTCAGAAAGCAGGGCAATCACATATGGTGTGCCACATGTATCTGTGTTGGGTCCAGTTCTGTTTTTGTTGTATATTATCCCATGCATGTAAGGTCTTTCCTGTTATGTATTACACCCTCCCGCACGACCTCGAATCAACATTGCGGCACAAATTGCGAATTCTAGAAGGAACCAAGTATTTACCACACCTTAAGTTTGATCATAAGTTGCTTACATTTATATCTGTGAACCCAAAAGTATACTTCTGGGCCATAAGCCTGTAATCACCATAAGCTTGGCGTGTTTAAAGGAACAATACACTTATCCTCCAAGTGGACTTATATTTACCCACCATCCCTCTCCGCTGAGTTCCGGCAGCCCATAATTTAGTTCCTAAGTAACAAAGTAACCCGTTTCAAACTACAACAACGAAGGTTACACCTAATATATTATCCTTGAATATCTCCAAAACAAATATAATAACATTTAAAGTCTGCTAAATGAACTGTCAATCTGTTTAAAATCTGTTTTTCCGTTAATCAGCTGTCACCCCCATACGAACGACAACTCTAAGAAGACAATGATATCTTGGAAAATGAATTGAACACAAAATTTCTTGGTGTCTATATTGATAATATGCTCAAATTTGATGAACACGTCAGGCAACTCAAGAGTAAAATCGCCTGCGGATGTTATGCAGTGAGGGTGGTTTCTAACAAGGTGGGTTTTCACAAAGCAAAAACGGTTTACTACGCTTTAATTGAATCCCAAATAAGATATGGAATCCCATTTTGGGGAACATGCAGTGCAACCCTTCTCTCATCTGTGTTGATATTACAGAAAACAGCAGTAAGATGTCTCTGTAAAGTCAAACCTGGATAATCAAGCAGAAATTATTTTGCGGCCAATAAAATTTTAACCGTCGTTGCACTGTTCACTCTTGAAACTGTATGTTTTGTGCACAAACATAAAACGGAGTTTGACTTTGTCTCTTCTCCTTATGTTACTCGTAATAGCATATTTAATATAAGACTTCCTATACCTAACTCAACATTAATCAAGGATTCCATTTTCTATAATGATGGAAAATTATTCAATCACTTGCCAGTAGAAATAAGGTCTCCAAATCTGACCAACGTACAATTCAAGTAAGCAGTTAGAAATTTGCTGGCAGATAGACCCTTTTATAGCTTGCAAGAGAATTTCAATGAATCATTTCAAAAGTGTATTCCATTTTATATTTATTTTTATTGTATTTGTACCTGTTTTATTCAATCCTCTATTGGCAGAGTGAAGAGTGTCTCAAACTGATTAATATTCAGGGTTATAAACTCATTAGCAGTTTTTGCAGGGCCACCAAAATACATGGTGGCTTAGCCAGGCCTAAAACACTCTCTTATTGACTTGAAAGAACTCACAGTATTGAACAAGACTGCGAATTTACTGCAATCTACCTAACTCAGTTGAAAACGGCTGTCGTACTTGTTTATAGATCAGGTTTGGGCGATATCGATGTATTTTTTTACGAATTTTGAAATTGTTCTACACCAGCTCACAAATAAATATTCAGAGACTTCAATATAAACTTCAAAGTTGAATCCGAAGTCCTCTAAAACTTTACTTGCCTGTTAACTTCATTTGGTTTATTAACTTTCAATTTGGTAACCCTTCTCAGCAGTTGTGATTGAATTTATATAAAAAATCAAGAACCATCTGCGACCTAGCCTCCGCAAATAAAGGGCTAATTATTTCAACTTGACACATAATAGTTCCAATAGGACACATGTACTGCTCATCAAGAGCAGATAGTTGTTGGTTCACAGATGGATCAATAACATCAAAACCTTCCGGTTCTGGTGCAGGTGTTTTCAGTCGCAGAACCAGGACAGAGATATCAACCTGCGTAGGAACCTATGTGACTGTATTTCAAGCAGAAATTTACGCTATTGAATTGTGTGTTTGGGAGATTGGATAAATCCAACCTCACTCGCAAGTCAATACAAATATTCTCGGGCAGTCAAGCGGCATTGGAAGCTCTTGGCTTCTAACGAGAAACCTCTAAATTGGTAGCAAATTGTCAAAAACGACTCTTCTCGATAGGAAGACTTAACAGATTGTCTTTGGTCTGAATTCCTGACCATACTGGTCTGGAAGGCAATGAGGCTAGTGATTTCTGTGTGAAGGAGGGTACTGCAATTAGCTTCATCGGATCAGAATGCTTTAGGTTTTGCCAAATATTGAACACTAGGATGGCAAAAAAATTTATGAACTTCTGGTAGAATCTTCCAGAATTGGCTCACTCCAAGGCTTGATACCAAACTGTTGGACTACAGTAAGGATGAACTACGATGTTTATTAGGCCTTCTTACATGCCACTGTCATTTGAATCATCATATGCAGAAACTCGGACTGTCGGAAGACAATGTATGTCACCTCTGCTTGGAAAATGATGAAACAGCAGAGCCTCGCTGGGGACCGAATCAGGTTTTTAGAGTTCGGCAGAGCCGTATTCCCACCATCTGATCTGAAAGACTAGTCACCATACAAATTAATCGGCTTCGTTAAGAAGCTGGGATTATTTAGTCTTGTGAGAATAGGTGTGAGCCACAATGAACCCTTAAGGGTTGTGGTGAAGGGTTGAACAGACCTACTCGCTTTGGACCTAAGCTAACATGTAGTGCTTCCTTGCTCAAGATCAAGAAGCGAGTGAGGTAACGTTACAATAGCAAAGGCATAAATGTCAAAGAATAGTTTAAAAAATTAATGATAGATAAAGTATGAAGACCAATATTTGATTTTTGTCGTGATGAATATCACACTTCAACTGTTCAATTTTCCTGCAATTCCATCCTCGAAAAAACTTTCACATCATATACTCAGTATTCGTAGCAAAACCTCTAGAACAAATTGCACCAAATGTAGCATAATATCCATATAATCCACGTTATCTACGTGAATGGATGGATGAGGCTATAATTTAAACTCAGTGATCCTATCTATGAAAATCAAAACACAAACGTCATTTGCAGGCCTATCGAGCTTCAAATATGATTTGTGGGATTGTGCTATCCAGGTTTTCCTGTGTGAGGATGCATGCTCTGAATATATTAGATGACGATGAAAGACAGTGGAAAATTATTGTTATTATGTTTGTCGTGGAAGGATTAATAAACATAAATGGAAAATCTGGAACAACACTTATATATTTCTTCTTCATTCACATCCAAGAAATAGTCTTTTCGGAATGACAACTCTACACAATTTTCAGTATTTTTAATAATATGTTAGGACACATCTATTTGAACAAATACGTTCTTCAAAAGATTTTCATCTGTAGCGCTTGTGATTAGGTCTAAAGTTGAACTATTGAAAGCAGTTCTAACTCTCGATTTCATATATTCCACCTTCATCATGTTTCCTCACACCCAGAGTATACACTGCAGTTCCCTATGAACTGGAAACAATCAACTCGATAAGCCTGTTTAAGAAATAAATGAAAGATTGGATTTCAAACCTTCTTAGATCATTTACTCATTACCTTGATAATGACAAATGAGATTTTGTCGAAACGTCGGTGAAATTAGAGATAATATCACATACACGGATCAAATACCCGGAAAAACCAGTTCAGCATATTCCTATCCGTGAAAACTTCAGATTTCATATTCAATACCTTAACGGGGAGAAGAGGTCAACTAGGAAGAAGAAGAACGCAGGTAAAACTCAACAACGTTTAAATAGTAGGTAGTAGAGGGTTTATGGACTAATCTATTTCTGAACACATAACGAATACCATTTTACCATTATAGTAAGAAGTGAGTTGAGCAAGGTCAACAAATTTCTGAACACGTAACAGCACACCNTCTGGCAAGGATGTTGAGAGACTGCTGAATGGTAAGTATACTGTTTTGTCAAAATTAATTGAAAGTAATCTACTGTCAAACCAGTCTTTGAGATTTCTTAGGTCTTTTTCAATGTTCAGTTTCAGATTGTACCAGTCTTCATCTTTATAGTATATTACCGTGTCGTCCGCAAAACTTATAATTTTCCCGATTGTTTTTTGTATGAATAAGTCATTCAAATAGATCACGAATAGCACCGGCCCCAGTACTGTCCCTTGAGGTACACCGCA